GATGTAATTTTCATTGTTATTCTCTTTCTCAATCAAACTTGGCATATAAATAAGATTTAGCGACAAAAAATAACGAAAAGGAAGCCAAATGCATGTACAAAAAAAGAACTTTATACCGTACCCCCCTTTAACGCCTACCGGATGTGGCGCCAAAGCAGAATTGATTCTACACTTTCTTTTAGGGGTGTTTGGAACTGATTGATTCTGCTTCTTTTTTAAAGAAGAAGCATAATCAGAATCAGTTTTCAGAAGTTGGTCACCCTCAGCTTCTAAAAAAACTGATTCTAGAAGTAAATTAGAGCACCAGAATCACTTCTACAATTTCATTCAAACACTCCAGCTTCTGATTCTGCTCTTTCAGGGAACAAAATCAGCCTTAAGAATCAGATCCAAACACCCCTTAGAGTGTTTATTTGTATTATTTCTGTTTTTGGCCATGTTTGAAATTGATTAATCCTCCCGTAATTTTGTTTTAATATTTGGAAACAGAAGTTATTTTACTTTAGATCTATTTTTCTTAAAAGTCTTCACGCTTCTCAACATGTCGATGGTGACACGATTAGTTCCAGGGACGGAACCAGAGCACTAGGCCAGTAGGCCGCACTGGACCGGTACAAATTATATTTTTGAATTAAAAGATTAACCGGAATTTTTTATACTAAAAATTAAGGCATTCTTAAAATTTAAGGTATGCCAAGGCCTAGGTTGGCCCACCCCTAGCTCCGCCCATGAATTTAGTTCAAAAATCCAGTTTTAGTGGTGTAAATTGTGTAATGGTGTTAATGATAACACAGAAGAGATAGATATGCAAATTAAGGAAGTTGCATGGCTGGGCATTGATGGTCCGTTGCTATTTTAATTTTGTGGTTGTATTCTTAAGAGTTTCTATAGGTTTAATTTTATACTCTGCTGTATTTTTCATTCATTTAATTTTCTTTGAATCTGTTAAAGAGGTTGTAGATTTTACACCATTTTGTATTGATTCAAAAGGTTGCCTAGAGGGAAGTTGTATTAAGAATAGATGCAAGCTAAGATGATCATTGATCAATATGATCTATTTTGGCTTAAGATTGTCCGTCGAGTGTTATGCAATTCAAGATGCTCTTTTTTATGATTGTTTCTTTGTTTGATCATAGAATTCTATCTCGGATACATTGATTTGAATTCTTGTATGATCTAAATTGATTACAGTTTGTTTAACATAAACTTAAAAGTAAAAGTTAAATGGTTGGAAACATTAAATAATAGTGATGTAATATTTGGTAAAATTGAAATTTTTCCATTTTTGCATATTTTGATTTGTGTTAAGTTGTCACGAAATAGAAGTATAATTTTTCATATTTATTCATAGTTAAGAGTTTCGATTGTTTACAAAAAATAGAGTAGTTAAAACTATCCATTATTGATTCTAAATTTTAGTTTTAAGTAATTAGAATTAAGTAGAAGCACAGGTATCAAACAAGATGTTTTTAACTAACAACAAGTGAACAAAACACAATGGCGATGGGCGTAAACCCAAGCCGCTAAGCTTCTTCTTCTCTTCCTATCTTCTTTTATTATGATGAAATATTCTTCAGAATGGTAGTTACATTTAATGTGGTATGTTTCATTTCTAGCATTGTACAGAGTTGGTTTATTACCCATCGGTGGAGCCGATAGAATGATGGAGTTATTGTGTTTGTGATTGGCAAGACTTTTGATACACACTTTTTCTGAGATTTCAACATTGATTGACAGTGGTTATGGGTTCTCGGACATTTTCCCTTTTCCTGAGCCACCGTCGAATTTTGATAGAAAATTAATCTTTGATTGAGTTTCTTCTTCAGTGGCTGTTTAAACTAGCCATTTTGAAAAGCTTTTCCTAGTAGCTGGTTAAACTCATGGGTCAAAATGAAGAACACTTCAAGCTTTTTATCGAGAAAGAGTGAGAATCAATTTTTTTGTAGGCAACGAGGAGGGGAGCAACTAAGGGGAAAGTTTTTTATAGGATGTGGTTTTAGTTTTGTTTTTACTTCATTGCTTTCATAAAGTGAGGTTGTAGTTGACTTGGTGTAGTTATTTGATTCGGTTTTTAATCTGTCCTAAGATTTACAACAAGATCAAATTGGTCAGGATTGATTTACAATAAAAAGATACTAATAACAAACACAACATTTGTGGTGTAAAAAATGACTTGTTAAAAAGTAGGAAATAGAGTGATGATTCAAAGTAACTTTTGAGTGTATTTGTGAAGTAAAAAGTATGGAATAATTGTTGGGTTCCCTCCTTAATTGAGAAGTTAATGAAAATTATAGAATAGTGCGGAGATGTCTAGAATTCTCTAGATGTGTGTAGAGAAGTATTGAATGTTCTAGAATATTCCGGAGTTTTCTAGAGAGACATGGAATTATCTAGAAGCGTGTGAAAGAGTGAAGAATATTCTAGAACATTGTGGAGCTTTCTAGAGAAGTGTGGAATTCTTTAGAATCGTGCGGAAGTGTGTACAAGCCTCTAGAACATTCTGGAGCGGTGTGGAGTTCTCTAGATCCTTCTAGAAGATTAGAGAAGCTTGTGGTTAGTTCTTGGAAGAATCTAGAAATGTAGTGATGTATAGAAAGTTCTAGAGAAGCTTTGAGAAGAGTAATATAAATAGGGTGACACTCTTCATTCCTAGGTGAGCCTCTAGAGTGAGAGAGCCATGTGAGGGCCTAGAGAGAGAGCCTCAAGTGATGAGAGAGAGGGCCTTGAGGAGAGCTCTTAAGTGAGTGAGTGCTTCCTTGAGAGAGGTGTGTGTGAGTGAAATAGTCTCATATACAAAGCGTGAAGTGAGCTACCGTTTACTTGTAAAATATCTCTTGCATGTACATTTCAATTGTATAATACAAAGTGAGATTGTTAAATTGATCCTTTGTATTACGAGTGGGTGAGTGAGTGTACAAGAGTCCTTTGAGCTGGTGATCCTGGAAGAGGCTGGGGGATCATGTTTTCCCCAACAATAATTACTGACTAAAATAAAGATTGTTTACAAAAATGTGACCAGTGATTAGAGTAGTAATAAAATCATAATAAGTGTTGAGGTTAATTCCTTCAACTCCAAAGGTCCAACACTTTCCATTGGGGTTCGAATGGAATATTTAATGGATTATGAAAGATGAGTAAGAACAAGCAACCAATAGCAGACAAGAAGAGATATGTAGTAAGTGGGCCATGTCTTATTCAATAATAATAAGAATCTGTCACAACACACTTCCCTATACGCTTGCTAGTTCGATAGGTCTATCTGAGCTAGGAAGAGGGAGGATAATTGCTACTGTTAAAGAGTATAAGTTGTCAACCCTTTACAATGAAATAAATGCTAGTATTTATACGACCAAGGGGTAGGTTATGTTGATGATGTGGAGAATTGTGGGTGACTAGCTTCCCATTCATCAAATCTACTGCATGCATTAAATGCGCTTCCCGTCAATATCTTGATTTTCCGCCAATAGATCCGGACTAGCGTCCGCCCGGTCTTGGGGGCTCTGGATCCGAATGATCACAAGGACGGGACCCGCTCGGCATACGCCGATTCCTCTGCCGAGGGCCCTAGATCCTTGTCTAGATCCATTTGGCCAAGGAGGAGGACATCGAGCGTCTTCCTTGCAGGCCGAACGTCCTCTTGATTTCCTTGTTGGGTCGAGCCCTGGGTTATTGAGTCGTTCCTATATCGACCAATTAACCCAAAAGTAACTTATGTTCAACTAATAAACTTAATTTACCATAACACTATATTGTAGTAACTATTAGTCATGTTTGTGTAAATAATTTTTATTTTAGTAATATTTTTGAAAAAATCCCAAAAAGTATTAGAAAAGGTTAACCACATTTTAAATGTCTATTGCTTACCACCTTCATTTGCCAACTCTTTTACCAATACGTGTATTGTTTAATAAAAAAGTTAAGTTACTTTTCCGAGTAAATTGTTGTAGTTACCTTGGAAGATCATTTTAGCTATTTCCATATCTTTTATAAACAAAATGTATTGAAAATAAAATTTATCATAAGTTTAGTAGATATAGTCGGTTTAGACGGTTCATTCAAAATTTCATCAATTTCAGTGGATTTAACTGATTTAATTTTATAATTTGAAAAAGGATTTAACTTTGCATGCATATTTCAGGCGAAACGTGCCTATGGAGTTCATTCATTTTTTAATAAATTCTGAGCTCATGAATTATATGAGATATTTTTTCAAAAATATATACTGAAAAGCCTCGCTCGCACAGAAATGAAGTGCAAAATTAAATCTTGTACTGTCGTATTTATTGGAAATCTTCTATATTATTTTTTGCTTACTTTCTAACATGTTACTGGTATAATATATGTTCTGTGAATGTAATATGAAATATACTCCCTCCGTCCCGAAAACAACTTCCCACTTTCCTTAAATGGATGTCCCAAAATTAACTTCACACTTCAATACTTTCCTTATTTGGCAAATTATCTACATCAAAAAAGTGATAAACAGTGCCAAACAGTGTTTAAACAGTGCCAAACAGTGTTTAAACAGTGCCAAACAGTGTTTAAACAGTGCAAAACAGTGCACTCTACAGTAAAGTCAAATTTATTTCTTAAAAGTGTGTGAAAGTCCAACCGGGAAGTTGTTTTCGAGACGGAGGGAGTATCTTTTACTCTGATGATATCATAATTATGATATCTTAATTCATTCATGTTTCAACAATAATAACACTATTTTTAACATTTGTAAACAAATTATAATTTTTTTTTGTTAAAATGAATACCGTGGCAAATTATAACTTTAAGCTTTGTTTGTAAGTGCTTGTGTTTAAATAAAAGCATTTTTTGGGAAAAAGTGATTAATAATAAAAGTTGGTAGTGTTTGGTAAAATAAGTGCTTTTTGAGTAATAGAAAAAGTAAAATGTAGATTTTACATGAAAATCGAGAAAGTAAAAGTTGATAATATTTGATAAAATAAGTGTTTTTTTCTTTAAAAAAACACAATTAATTACAAAAAGAGCCTTACAAAGTTACAATTGAATACGGAATACCACAGAATTCCCCATCTGAACTCACGGAGAGGGTTGCTAGTGTAATGGCATCCTCGAAAGGACCAGGACCGGCGGCGGCGACGGTGGAGTTAGAGAAGTTGAGCGTCGAGCAACTCAAAGCTGTGAAAGAACAGACCGATCTTGAAGTCAACCTACTCCGAGACAGCCTCAACAACATCCGAACAGCTACCACCCGCCTCGGAGTAGCTTCCACTGCCCTTAGCGATCTTTCCCTCCGTCCTCGAGGTTAGGTTTCTTCTTCTTATTCTTTCTGGTTCCCTATTCCCCCTCCAATTCCCAAACTGAAATGCTTGGGTGCAGGGAAGAAAATGCTGGTTCCACTAACGGCGTCGCTTTATGTACCGGGAACGCTGGATGATGCTGATAATGTTTTGGTGGATATTGGGACTGGGTATTATGTGGAGGTAAGTCGTTCCTTGCGGTGTATTTCCTTTTTCCAATCAATCAGTAGATAAAGAACTTTTATAATTGGCAATTTTGTATGTGAAAACTGAAAAGTATTAGATTTTGTAAACAACTTTCGCTAACATTTAGTAATTATTCACTGTGAAAAATGGTTGACTTTGACAGTGAATTCGGTTGGGAGTGGTAGCTACTTGCTTATCACAATGAATAATTACTAAATGATATCGAAATAGAGAAATTGATCCATTAAACCTTTGATTCGAGGAATAAGAAAGATTACAAAGAGCCGGAGAATCATTGGGATAGTGTTTGAGTCCTTTTGTAAAGGCTTACCAGTCTGATTTGTGTGAGAAATGGTAATGTATTTTAAAAGTGAAAGAGCAAGGTAGGTTTCAAGTAAACATGAGTGTAATATTGCATATAAGTTTTCCCAAATACTTATACAAACTGAGAGGAGGAAAGCAATATATTGTCTGTCATTTGTTGATCCAATAAAAAAGGTAAGTTAATACGGAGTGTGCTTAATAGAATAGCCAAACAAAATTGCGCACACTGTGATATGCCAATCTCAGCATCCATTCAATGGTTACTAATGTCATTATCAGGAGTAATAAAACATTCTAGGTACCAAACACTCCCTTAGTGTGGTGTAGTAGTCAAGGAGGGACAAAACATTGTAGGCCCATGACATGGTAGAAATTAGGTCCTTTGGAGTTGAGTGAAATTGAAGCATATATGATACATCTAAACAATTGATTTAAAAATTATTTTGAAAAATAAAAGTCAAACTTATAAATATCCTTTAAATAATGAGTTATTTGTGTATTGTCAAAATAAATTTTACTAAATAGTCAAAATATATTAACGATTCCATGCAAAGCATAATCCATTGAATATGTACCTATGCACATAGACTCAGACTTAACCAATACTAAAGATATAGAGGCCCGATCCTTGGTTATCTCTACCCCCACCCTGCAGGTCTGAGGTAGAAAATTGTTCTTGACAAATGACAACATTTTATGTACTAGTGAGTGGTAACCAGTGGCTATAGCAAATGTACATAGAACTTGTTAGACCAAAACGGCAGTTTACAACCCATTTCATTTATGCCAATGATGGTAATCGTTAGCCCTTTACTAGTATGACATCGTCAAGGAGTTAGCCCGATGCACTACCCCCAAAACTAGTCGTTATCCATCTCTTGGTCAAAAGGTACTATCCTCAGATAATCAGATATAAAGATAACAACTCAATAATAGAAATCCTCACATGGGATTGAAAATTGTTACTCCAATCCCTGCATTCTCGTAGATCTCTTTCTACTTACTAAGGAGTCCTTGAATAGGAAATATATTTCTTAGAAGGATACTAGTGCATGAAGTTTTATATATCACCATACATAGTATGTCTGCTTAGAGCACAGGGTACCATGTTTTGAGACTTTAATATGTTGTGGATTGCAAAATTGTTATGGCCTATGAAGACAATCATGACAATGAGCCAGTCTTCTAACATATGTGGATTTGTTGTTCGACCATTATGATCTGATCATCATCACACTCCTTGTCGTCATGTGCATGTGAATAAGAGTTAAGACATTGATGGCACTTATCCTCAATCCTTCCGCGGCGCTCTTTTGTTATCGTTTGGTTCTTGCGTAACTTCTCTGAATGTGGAGAGCCTTGCGCATTTGTCACAGATGTCACACAATAAAGAGCAACCTCTGGTTCATATGTTCAAGTAGTCGCCTCTTTTTTGGTTTTGTAATGTTTGGGTATTGGGCTTCTTCTTTTTCCACGTTGGGACTGAATGGTCGATCAATAATTAGGTCCAAGTCCCAACAATCCAGATTTGTGGCGTATATGGACATGGTGATTGCGACCACCATGGAGCATTTCTGTGGCGAAGAGGGCTTCCAATGCCATAAGTGATTTATGGTGCTCGCCATTTGTGCCTTAACTGCCATTGATAACTATGATGAACTGTGTGACACATGTATGAGTGTTGTATGTACATGAAATAGAATAGCACAATACCTTTGGCACCCTTCTCATTTTCAAATAAAGGTGAATCACCCTTTTTTATTTACTTGCCAGTACGAGGAAAACTTTATTCTCTAACTTGGGTTTTATCACTATTTGTGTGTAGAAAACTATGGCAGACGGAAAAGACTACTGTGAACGTAAAATAAACCTTCTACAATCCAATTACGACCAGCTTCTTGATGTAAGTTCAAATGTCCATCTTTTGTTATGTGGATTTGTGGAAATATGCAGATTTGCAATTTTTTAAAGACATATTTATTTGTTGTCTAAGGTTTCTTGGATGAACATATTTTTTCACTTATTAGCTTCCCAAAAGTTTTGGAAGGTAGATAAGAATTAGGTTAATGATCAAGATATGTCTATCATGCATAAATGCTTGGTGCTATTTTATAGACACACTAATGCTGGTTCAAATTGTTTGAACCATTTCCCACTTAGTACCTGATTGGATTCATGGGAGCATTTGGGCAATTCCTTCTCCCACCCTGTTTAGTTATTGTTGAAAAAAACTACTCCGTATTCTGTATGTCTGTATGTGTGTCTGGTAGGTGGTACAATGTGTGTGTGTGTATGTGTGTATTTATATAGTTTTTTGGGAAAACTGTCAAATGAGTCCACGTACTATATTGAAAAAGTCAATAGAGTCCATGTACAATTTTATCAATCAATTGGGTACACATAGTCTCAAATTTTAACCAATTTTGCCATTTGACCGGTAAACAACCGGTGACCCTTTTAATTGCTCACGTGGATGCCACTTAAGCTTTTTTTCTTCCTTTTTTCCCTTTTCTTTTTCCCTTTTAATTTTCTTTCTTCTTCCTTTCTTTTTCCCCTGGTTCGTCGTCCCCCCTTTTCATCCGCTGCCTGCAACTCGAGTCTCCCACCTTCCTAATTCCTTTTTTTCCTTCTTCTCCAATCTCCCTGCAACTCATTCTCCCCTATTTTTCAATCTCTTCTCTTCTCCACTGCTTCTACCCCACGCCCCCACCCAATTCAACCCCCTCCCTTCGTTCTTGCAATCTTGCGCACCCCTTCTCCTTTCTGTTTTCTTTCTTTTTCCTCTTCGTTTTGCTCTTCTTCTCCACTCCACTAATTCTACTCCACTCAACATTATATTCCCATTCTTCCATGCCCAGAGAAGGCAACCCAATGAAAACCCGATGAAACCCCTTGCTCTTCGATGGCAACCATATCACGACGGAGAAGGTGGCAGCAGAGCTCGAAGCCGATGGTGATGGCAGCGAAAGAGATCGACGCTGATGGTGACCGTGGCAGCAAATCTCAACGGGGTTGGCGGCGGCAGAGGTCGACGGCGGTAGAAAGGTGGAGAGGCAGAGAAGGGAAGAAGAAAGAAAAAACAAAAGAGAATAAAGAAAGACACGAGAAAGAAGAAAGGGGAAACGAAGAGAATAATAAAAGAAGAAATGGGGAAGAAAGACGAAGGGAAGGATTGCTGGGAACAGAAGAAGAAAGCTTTTTTTTAAGGAAAAGGAGTCTCTAATGCCACATGGACAGCCAAATCATCGCTTACAAGGAAAAAGCCAAATAACCAGGGAAACCGGTCAATCAAGCAAATTTGGTAATTTTTTGTAACTTGGTAGACTTAATTGGTTAAAAAAATAGTATGTGGACTCAATTGACTTTTTCGAAATAGTAGATGGACTGATTTGACAGTTTTCCCTAGTTTTTTTTATTTCATCTGTCCCAAAAGATTCTTATTTTATAAAACAAGTTGGTTGTTCGTGTCATTTTCCAAAAATAAAAGGCAAAAACATGCTCTATATGACAACTTTAGTTAAGTAAGTTTTACCTTGTTTAGTTAAAAGATTGCACCCCGACGAAACAGAGTCTTTGGGGGGAGTAGTGCATTGCATCTATACCAAGCCAGTGTATATAGTGTGTTGTGTGTGTGTGTGTGTTTATATTAATCATTCACATCATATTTGATAAGATTCAATTACTCCATTTTTGAATGATCTAATCCAAATGGATTCACTCATATCACTGTTATGCCAAGAAAACATATTCTTGAATTTGACAAGTACTTTTAGATTTTTATGAGGTGTGAGTCATGTCAACCGTGTGTGTGTGATGTAATCCATCGAACTTGCAAATTATGTAGGAGATTGACACAATTTTAGCCCACTGTTCATATTTATCTTTTTAGTCAAATTTATATGAAGTGTTGATTATATGTATTTAAGATGGATGCATGTATTTCTGGTCTTTCTGAGTTGTACAGCCAACACAATTATGTTGTATGTGGAACAGGAAGCAATTGTAGATTTGCAGATATAATCCCAAATTCCCAATCTTCTAGCTATATGCATTTTCTGTGCTGGTATTTTCTTTTTTGCTAAGTCACCAGTTGTACTTTTATTAAATGCAGGTGGCTGCAAAGAAGAAAAGTATTTCTGACGAAGCTGGTGCTATCTTACAGGCCAAATTAAGACAACTTACCCCTACAGCATAGAACAAAATGTATTCGTTTGTGCACTATTTCCTAGTTTAAAGTTGAAATATATTTTCTTGTAAAAAACATCAAATGATCCCGCAAGTAATATTGGGCTGTCAGAAATTCATCTATGGGATTTTAGGACGTAGTGACTTCCCTTGACCCCATTTTTGTATGAGGATTTCTTGATATTAGATGTTTTCGAAGTATTGTTTGAGATTAAATTGTTCAGTTTTACGTTCTTGTTTTGGTTTCAAATGCCATATTGACATTGACATATATTAACAAATTAACGGGCTTTCAGATTGATCATTATTGGTGTTTGTTTTCCTTGAAAAGATCCATGAATTATCTATTTGTTTGACTCAGATATTTCCGGGGATAATATTTGTTTTAACTTTTAAGAATCATTATTCATTTGGATACTTCGAAACCGAAAACCTTTAATTTAATTTTAAGCACGCAATGTCTGTAAAAGGTTGAAAGAGTAATAATGAAAAACGAGAAAAACATTATGAGATAGTTGTAGTCATATTTATTTATTTCCCCACAAATATCATCAGCCAGAAGATTTATTCATATTTTACAATTTACACTGTCCGGATTTACCAAATAAACAGCCGAATACAATGGAGAAATAGAACAACACATTTTTCTAGCAATTACAAGTGAATTCAATTCAAAGAAGAGTTTTTAAGAATAAGAAAGAAGGCCAATCAATTCACAAAGATGACTATAACCCCAAAATGAAAAAGCCACCCTCAACAGAATCATGTTTCTTTCTCTTTTGCCCCTTTAAGGTAGACAGCATATCTTTGGAAATTCACAATTGCCCAAACCAAATGCCTGAAACCCATCTCTGGCCAAAGCGATTCTGGAGAGTAAAGAAGACATTTTGAACTCTGCCATAGTAGAAAATTACTCAATCGAGTTTCGCCAGAGGTACGTATTATAATATTAGGATCAGGAACACCAGCCATATACATATGCCTATTAATATCTGTCACCCCAATATTGAGGTTCTCGTTTTTACCATTTCCATTCACGGGTCGATACATATCTGAACTCTGCCATTTTTCTTCACATGATAGTTCAACTGCATGCACTATCTCATCCGTTGATGTATAGGCAACACAGATCGATAGGATGGTTTTTGAGTTACCCGAAGTTGCAACCATTGCCCTCTCTGCTGATGACCTAACAGAGTCACTCAAAAGGTCTAGGTTCCCTTTGAAGTACAGTCGAACTCCATAACTGTTGACTAAGCTCTCCTCTTTAATTAACTCTTCAATTTTTTCCTGCATCAAGAGCATGAGGGATCCAACTTCTTCGGGGCGCCTCTTAAAGTTATCAATACTAAAGGCATAAACAGTTATGTACTTCACACCAAACTCATAACAATATTTTAACAAGTTTATAAGAGCAGCAAACCCAGCCCTATGCCCATGTCCCTCTTCCAAATTCTGTTTCTTCGCGTATCTTCGATTGCCATCCATTATAAATGCAATATGAGTTGGAACAGGGCCGGCAGAAAGTAGTGAGATGATGCACCTTCTAATGAAATAACACATGTTTTCTAGAAGCTGAATGTTGGTTTTTTTACCACTACTACTCTTCTCCATATCGGAACTTCAATCTAGTCCCAGATGCAGCAAAACCAATCTGATAAAGGCAGTGTACACTTTGAGATCCGTTAACTGCATTTGAGAAAAAATAGTAGTTCAATAAGTAACAAACAAGCACTCGTGAGTTGTGTTACCTTTTGTAACACAAAATGAAAACATGATAAACATGCAATAGAAATATGGAATACACACACACAAGCATGATGAATCCAGCCATAGAACTTGCCGCAAAAAACTAGAGCACTCCTACAGGTGGCCAAGAATCCAAGATGAGGATTGTATTTGTTAGTTGCTCTGGAAATATATATATATATGTTGTCTTTTGAGATTCTGACCACCAGATTGTCTCTGAATTAACATTTTAAATTAAAATTACTTAAGTTTTTAACTTTTTACCTATCACTTTTATCAGCTAATACAATTCCTGCCTTTAAGTCATTGTACATAAAAATACCCTTTTCTTTTGGTTCAATGCAGAGCTTCGATTTAAAGATGCACTAGACTCTCTCTGAGTAAATGGTTTTGCTATGTGGATTTGTTCTAAAAAACTTCATTGTGTGGTTTTATTCTCCAAACCAGGTAATGAAGAATCCTCTAAAGGCATCTTAAATTAACTGACTATTACGTTTAGCCTGTGTTGGTTAATGTTGCTTCTATTAGTGCTTTCTTTTATATGGTTCATTTTGAAAACTTCTTTTTGTTATTTATCACTTCAGGTGGCATGAGTAAAGAAATCAGCTATATTTTCTTTTCTATGGTTCTGATCTTTTGCTTGATTAGCACAATAGGTATAAACATTAAAAGAATCATGGGCAATTGAATATAGATAGTAAGAACATCACAAATAGATATTTGGGTGTTCAACATTTATTAAAATTAAAGATAAAGATTTGTATAATAGTATTGTTTGATGTACGACCTGGCACCTGCACATGTATCTTTGTGAATGAAAAACACCAAACTTTAATACTTATACTAAAAAATACTCAAAATTTCACAAAATAAAATCAACAGTGTGAATTCTAGTATAAACAACCTGCCATTATGTGAACTTCGGGACCAGCATTCAAATTGAAGTATCAAACTTACATACAGATTACAGGCTACTAACAGCTAACTATGGAATGACAACATATGAACCTACTCCCAAGTGCCAACATACTCGATTCTTTGGAAAAACTAAATCAATGTAGTAGATCATTTTTGCAGGAAGTTCATGAAAAAATACAACCCGTAACATAAAAGAGTAATAGCTTCAAATTGAACCTACTGGCTACTAGCTGAATTTGAACCAATATTATCATAAAATTTGCACAATTACAACTTTACACTTTTATTGGATGAGTAAAATGTGACAAGTTAACGACTCATAAAGACTAATGAATTAAAACCTAAAGAATTGCAAACCTACACTAACATATGTGAAATATTCCCGTTTTCCTACAAAACACACAGTGGAGGAGGCAAGTAAAATCAATTAACAGCGAGAGAGCAAGCAAAATAAGATCACAAAAAATGGAGATCGTACCGAAGAAGAACAAACTCAAAAAAATTGTCACGTACCTGAACTAATCAGGTCAATCCGTCAAAGGTGCTGCCGTGGCTGCGTGCTGGGCGAGATCTAGGGTGATGGCGTGTTACAGTGCTGTATTTTGGAAAAAGTTGTGTCTCTGTGTGCTGCCTCACTGGACCTGGCAGGATCGTGCTTAGAACTCAACTTTAAAGAACTCTGCTTTACTCCGTTAAACTGTATATGCAAAAAAGTAGCTTTTAACTAAAAAAAATACATTTTAAAATCAACATTACCATAAGAATTAAGAAAACTATATTATTTGGATAATAAAAACAAATCAATTTCGAATTGCACAAGAATATAAATACTTCGTATTTGTTTGTGTGTGTGTGTGTGTATACACATTCATAACATACCAGAGGCCCAAAGCATTTGGTTCTAAGTGAAGAAGATGCAAAATACAGTCTGAGTTAGACAAATGGTGGGGGAGTCATTGTTGACTGTGAAGAGAAAACTGAACATGTGCTTGGAGCCTCCCATTTCTCCCTACAGTAACCAGCAACCCCAATTATTTTTCAAATGCGTTTTGATTTAGGAGGTTGTGTGTGTATTTAGGTTTTTGATTAGATAAAAACAGCCTTAATGATGAATTTGGGAAATTTAATGTTTTAGATCTAATGGCTCAAAACATGTCAACATTATAGTATATTTGACAAAAATATGGCGGCAGTTTGATAAATAGACCAATGTTTTATATCAGTGTAAGAAAGTGCAACAGACATATTTAATGGTGCATCAAACTAAGTAATGAGCAGTGGCTGATCTAGCACCTTTATTTTGGGTGTTTAAAATTAATTTAAAAGTAAAACTAAGAACAATGATCGTGTGTATGTAATGAAGGCATTCTACCATTGTATCTTTGTCAACAAAAAATTACACTCATACAGATGGAGTACCTGTATTATTCACCGCCTCTCACCCAATATGTCTGATGCATATATTTAATTAAAGATTGAAAAAAAAAATTAAGCAGATCAAGCCCACTCTGAAACTCGCGACGCAAAGACAAATGCTTACTTACAGAAAAAACACTTATTCCAGCCAAATTAAAGAAAACAAGATAATGTGGATGCATCTCAATCTCATACAAGTTTGTCAATTAGCAAACATCCTAAATTTAACCTTAAACCCCAATGCTGCAAACATATATTTGGTTACGTTTGGCACAAGTGCACATTCTAGCTGAAAAGATACTTTTTAGTAACGGTTAAATTTTAGTGACTAAAAGGATCTTTACTCATGAGTGCAAATTGCAATGTAGAGATTTCTTCATATTAGCTGCTTTGAAGTTTACTGTTAAGAATTTGAGAAACCATCAGACCCTCTGCAGGTTGTATTTATCCACATAATTAGGTGAAAGAAAAGATTTTAGACTTTTTACATAATACAAAAGCAAGAAGTTTACTCCTTGCGAGCTCACTAAAGCTGTAAACCAGTTTGAAATTAAATATAGCAAATTAGCATTTATGTGAAGCACAATGAATGAGAAAGGAAACAGGCGAACTAAATAAAGGCATAAAACTGAACTAAATAAAATATAACAAAAAATATACTGAAAGTAAAATACATGCCTGAAAATTGGAAATCCAGAGACTCAGCGAGTAGGCAGTGGCGGAGGCCGGAGGGCCCAGCTGCGCAGGGCGTGACTCGGAGCGAGTGAGGGGCACTGGCGCAGGGGGACAGTAGGGCACTGCGGTCTGCGAAGCGAAATAAAGAATTGCAGGGGCGATTCGGCCGATTCCGAGCTTTCCCGCGAAGTCTCAACTTGTCTGCTTCACTGCTTGTCGACCGTCGTTCAGTACTGGTTTACGGCTTCAGGCTTCGCTTGGGCCCTTTTTAAGATTTGTGACAATACGAGATTGTAATAGACTTATATGGACTTCTCTAAATTCGTGTGGATTCTTGTGTAAGACATTTCAAGACTTATGGTATGGAATATGAATGGTGCTCAAAAGCTTTATGAAGTTTCATCAAAGCGGAAGCATTATTTCAGAAGCTTTGAATGGTGCTCAGAAGCTTTGAAGACTACCCTGCCCATACCTGCAAGTTGCCAATTTTCATCAAAGCCGAAGCTTTATTTCCGATCTCTTCCGGCTGGGGCGGTCTTTTTTCCGGCGGCCTTCTAATTGTTCCAACACAGAAGTTTCAGACTGCGACCAAGGGCATACATAGCGACCAAGTTTCAGACTGAAACGAGAAGGAAAATAGATGCCGTTGCCGTTGTTTTCTGCTTTGCGTCGATGGAGTCCAAATCACGTGAGAGGATGAGAGTTGGGAGTGGTTTTGTGCTTGTATTTGGGCTCCCTTTAGATAAGTCCAAGTTGTAAAATGAGGCATAATTTGAATTTGGATCCCATTTTATTGTGTAAATAGGATTTTGTATCCCTTTTTTTTAGAAAATTTGTTTTTGTATCCCAACCCCATTTTTTTTATCGTCAAAGTGGCTTTAAATTAATAAAATAGCATTCAGCAGGGGTACATGACAACAAAAGGACCACATGTAATCATCCGCCCTTGGCTGAGACTCTGAGTTAATCACCTTTGACAAAGCAATATAACTCGCTAGACCTAAATTGGGCAACAAACAGTCATTGACGATTACCGTAGACCTCTCATCCCCCAAACCTAATGCAAGAGTCTTACAGCATAAAATAAAATAACAGCAAAACACAAGCGTCTTAACTTGAAAATTAAAATGCAGAAAAGATAAGTAATCAAACTCCAAAATGCGTCGATTAACCCTTGGCGGTGGTTCTGGGGGAGGCCGGACCATCGCAACGATTGTTGCTGCACCAAAGCGGGTTTCCTCCGACTCGACCGCCTCTACTTCATCATTGTTATTGCACCAACGCGATTTCCCCATGCGCCAAACAGATGTCATCGGTACTTGGAACCCCGGAAGGTTGATCTTTCGGTCCGTAATCACGGCGTCGACTTCTCCTAACATGGAGATCCCCTCCCTTCGTTCCTCCCCTGCGTCTTCCTGTTTTGCCAAACCCAAGCCGTGACCGAGCCCTTCTGCCGAAACCCAAATCACTGCCGTCATTCGCCTTCGCCACAACCTAAGCACCGTTTTTCGTTAATAAACGAAAAACGGGAAACAAAACCCTGCGGCGATAAGCCCCAGGAAGAAGAGACCCAGCAGCGGTAAGCCCTGGGAAGAAAAAATCGGCAACAGAGCCGAGAGAGCCCCAACCCCATTTGGAAAGACAAAAGTCTCTCTATCAGAAATATATTGAAAGCCAACAAAATTATTAATGGATGGGTAGTATTGTCTTTTCATATGGGGTTAGGGTGCAAAAACAATTTTTTTTTAAAATACAACTAGACATTATAGGATTTATAAAATGTCTTAAAATGTCTCAATTAAAATACACTCAGATTTCATAAATTCTAAAATGTCCTAAAAGAAAACACCCCTTATTGTCTCTGGGTGAGGCCATCTTACATGTAATTTCATTTTTTTACTTTTTGAATGAGTATGATTTTCTATACAACTTCCTTTTGTAATGAGATTCAAACCCGCAATCTCCTTTTTTGGGATATTAGTTTTGATACCATCAGACAATAAAGTACTTCCCAAAGTACTTAACTATACAATTCAGTATTAATTTTTTTGTGTAGACCTCGGCCCTCACTACTCCAAAGTCCAAAGCCCAAACTGCCTCTTCTTATAATACATAGTTACATACCAATGATAAAAAAAACCAATGATACATTTGAACATTTCATTGGTTTATGTCATTAGTTTCCAACTAGTTAGAATACGCCAACTAATTGTAGGAGTAGATTATACTATCTCGTAGCTTCGCTAAAAACAATAATGTGGCCGATGTGTGTGATGATATGCTAGAAACCCCTGCGAAGAAATGAATTATTTGAGGAGCATAATACTTCGAATGTACTTTCTTTTGAGTGAGGTTGTCTCATTTTTACTTTTTGATCTAATTTTGATAATTTAAGTGTGATTCTAATTTGTTCTTACTTTATTTTTGCTTTATTTATTCAATATTAGTCTCATAAAGTTCCTTTTTAATTATCACATGACTTGTCATGTACTCTGTTAGTTTATTCGCGTATAATTCACGTATATTACAATCAAACGTATAATTCACGTACAATACTCCCGTTTATGAATTTTTCAGAAAATTTTGAAAAATTCACATACTTTAAGGATAAAATGTATAATACACGTACCGTACATATTGATAAGTATTTTATTCAAAAACACACACCATTAAACGGAATCCTAATGAAGTGGTACAACTGAAACAAAATGTCTAGTTGCTCAATACCGGCATGGATTTTATATTTATCATCTTTTGCCTTTTTACATCTACAAGCATATTTTAAGATTCAATAACATGACGACCTATTTCAAATTTGACTCATCAATGGGAAGATTGATAGTTTCAAGCATTGTATCTTAACTCTTGCAAGTATATATTGCTTTAATTATATGTGTCGGTGTTAATTATATAGTGGGCATCTCTTTTGTTAAATCAATTTCAGTAAAAACCCTGGCCACAGCAGGTCTAGACAATTTGGAAGTAGCCTCATCAACTTTAAGGGGCTTCCCAATGAGACTGATAATCTCAAATAAGGCTGATTTATCCTGCAAGTGTAGAGGCAGTCCCTCCAGAGCAACCCACACTGGTACCACCGGTGATTCCACATTAGGCCGAAATTCGGGTGTCCATTTAGAAACCCTCATTACATGGCCACGGATAATCCAAGATGGCCTATTCCAACAACGAATAAAATCTTCCTCCAAATCAAATTTAATCATCACATGTTTAGCATCCAGAGTCCCCAATTGAAAAGATCCCTTGAATCCAATAATTTCAAATGCCTTACGCATAACCAAAAGACTAGGTTTACCTTTGAAAAAGTATCCCACCAATACACGTTTATGTTTATCAGCCAATTTACCAACATCACCTTGTGAGAATGAGATCGAGGGTACACCTTTGAACCTAGCCTTTTCCGGATTCAAAACTGTTTGTCCAGCCAGTACCTCAGCAAACGACTTTCGATTCCAAACGCCACCCAAAGGTGGCGGCGCCGGATCCTTCTCGGAATCAGCACTCATCGGAGTCTTTAAAGCCCTCTAATTTCCCTCCTCTGCTTCCTAACTAAAAAATGTCAAACCACGAATGTTTGCTTCTAAAACTTCTAATATTTATACTTGAACTGGAAAACAACCAATCAATTCATAACTATTAATTTACGTATGGCACATGGGAAAAGAGAGAAGTAAAGCAAAAGAGGATAAATTCTTCTGTATTGCCCAAGGCCAATCGGCCAGAATAAGAGCCGATGTATTCGGATCTCTAAATGAAAGCCTACAAGGAAACAATCTCGTACCCAATATAGAATACTGTCCTTAAAAAAATAATTCTAAATAATATCTCTAATACCCCCCTCAAGTTGGCGCATGGGGATTCAAAATGCCCAACTTGCGTAGGAGAGCGTGAAACGGGGTCTTGCCAAGTGCTTTAGTAAATATATCGGCCAGTTGAAGAGTAGTAGGAACATAAGTAGGCGTAATAATTCCATCTTTGACAGCATCACGAACAAAATGACAGTCTACCTCTATATGTTTCGTGCGTTCATGGAACACAGGATTTTGAGCAATATGAAGAGCGAATTGACTATCACAATAAAGAGGAATTACCTGAGGATGCTGCACACCCAGACTTAAGAGAAGTGCTTTTAGCCATTTTAATTCACAAGTAGCTGCCGCCATGGAGCGATATTCAGCTTCAGCAGAAGAACAAGCAACAGTGGATTGTTTCTTAGCTTTCCAGGAGATGGGTGAGTGACCAAGAAAAACCAACCAGCCAGAAAGAGATCTACGCGTAAGAGGACACGCCGCCCAATCAGAATCACACCAGCCAGAGAGAGTAAGATCACTATCAGCACGAAGGAGAATCCCCTGGCAGGAGATCCTTTAAGGTATCGTACAATACGTAAAGCGGCTGCCCAATGTTCTTCTAGAGGCTGTTGCATAAACTGGGAAAGTATATGCACAGAATAAGTGATGTCAGGGCGAGTAACCGCCAAGTAAATCAGTCGTCCAACAAGGCGTCTGTAAGGTTCAGGGTCCGGGAGCGGTGGTCCAGAAGCCGAGGCAAGTGTGTGGTTCTGCTCAATAGGAGAAGAGGCCGACTTTGCCCCTAACAAACCAGTTTTAGCAATAATATCCAGGGCATATTTTCTTTGATTAAGAAAAATGCCAGTAGAGCTTCGGGCCACTTCAATGCCCAAAAAATATTTGAGAGTTCTTAAATCCTTCATATGGAAGCATGTGTGAAGATATGATTTAAATGTGGCAATAGCAACACTGTCATTGCCAGATATAAGGAGATCATCCACATAAACAAGCACATTAAGTTGGACAGCTCCTCGAGTAAAAGTAAATAAGGAATAGTCTGCATAAGACTGAAGAAACCCATAACTCTTGAGAGCAGTAACCAATTTGGCAAACCAGCATCGCGGAGCCTGTTTAAGTCCATATAGAGACTTATGAAGCCGACAAACCAGAGTGGAATCACTGGTTTTATAACCTGGGGGAATGGTCATATAAACTTCCTCATTTAAATCTCCATGAAGAAAAGCATTGTGTACATCCATTTGATGTAACTCCCAATGCTTAGCAGCAGCTATAGCAAGAAAGGCCCGTACTGTTACCATTTTAGCAACAGGTGCAAATGTCTCTATATAGTCTATACCAGCAACCTGTATGTTCCCAAAGATGACAAGGCGAGCTTTCAGACGTTCAATAGTCCCATCAGATCTGTGCTTTACTTTATAGACACATCGACAACCCAAGGCACGTTTGCCAGGAGGCAAAGGAACAAGGCTCCAAGTAGAATTATTTTCGAGTGCTCGAATTTCATCCCTCATGGCGTTGCGCCACCCTTCATGCTTAACTGCTTCATGAAAAGAACCAGGCTCCGTGATAGAGTGGAGAGCTGCCAGGTAAGTCTTATGTTTTGGAGAAAAAGAATCACATGTAACATAATGAGTTATAGGGAACGGTGTACCTGAAGAAGGTGACGAAGCGGAAAGAGCGGGGAACGGACTGTTTTTAACGATAGTATGCGTGATATAATCCTTGAGACGAACCGAGGGCACACATGTGCGCTGCCCGCGTCCCAAGACAGGCTGGGACTCCCCTTCTGGTGTTTCTGCCGCAGAATCAGAGGCCGTGCCACCTCCCAGAGAGGAATTCTCCTCATGTATAGATGTAGGCCCTACCTCAGGTTGACCAGAAAATTCAAGCAGTGAAGTATCCGTATAATCTGTAGGCATAGCTACCGGCTGTGTATCTTCCGGTACATGATGAGTATCGGCTAGTGCAAAGGTGGATACAAATGGAAAGATATCCTCAAAAAATTTGACATCACGGGACACAAAAAATTCCCGAGTCTCTAAGTAAAAAACATTCAACCCTTTCTTCCCGAAAATATATCCCACAAATACACATTTTCTGCTTCTACTGAGAAATTTATCACCTTTCGAACGCATATTGTAGGCATAACATAAACAACCAAAAACATGAAGAGATTTATAGCATGGAGGAGCCCCAAATAAGACTTCGTACGGCGTTTTATAATCATGCAGTGCAGAAGGCGTTTTATTAATCAGATAAGCAGCAGTCAATACACACTCACCCCAAAATGAAATAGGCAAGTTTCCTTGAAATCTTAACGCACGAGCCACATTTAAAATGTGTCTATGTTTACGTTCTACACACCCATTTTGTTGGGGTGTTCCAACACAAGATGTCTGAAAAACGATGCCGCTACTGTTGAAGAATTCTTTCAAACAATTAAACTCGGTGCCATTATCACTTCTCACGCACAAAATTTTCTTGGAAAATTGTCGTTCCACCATAGCAACAAAAGTAAGAAACATTTTGAAAACCTCCTTTTTATCAAGCAGCAGATAAATCCAAACAGCACGAGAATAATCATCAACAATTGTCAAAAAATGTTTAGCACCACACGAAGACGGGGTTTTATAAGGACCCCACAAATCACAATGAATCATCTCAAAAGCATCACGAGTTTTCTTCAAACTAGTAGGAAAAGAATCTCTACTCTGCTTAGCTCTAAAACAAACATCACATGGGGATTTGGCAAGTTTCTTCAAACTACTTACGGGAACTAAATTTTCAATCACTTGATAAGCTGGATGTCCCAACCTTTGATGCCACAATTCTGCCTTCTCAGATTCTCTAATTGTCAAAGCATGTTTCATTGGTTCCTCCCGCAAGTAGTACAGTCCGTTCCGCCGTTCACCCGTTCCAATCAGCTTCTTCGAGACACGGTCCTGTATAACACACATATTACAAGTGAACTGGATAAAACAGTTAAGTGCATCACTTAATTGAGAAACGAAGATAAGATTACACTCCAACTCTGGAACAAAGAGAACATTTTTTAAATACATATTATTTGCAAATTGCACACTCCCTTCTAGAGTGGCGAGAACTGTTTGTCCGTCCGGGAGGCCTACCGTGCATGAGCCAACTTCCTTTAAATCACATAACAAAGATCGATTGCCACAAACATGATTTGTAGTTCCAGTATCAATAATCCAAGCATTATTATTGAACTTACCGGTCATACGATCATTAGTAGATTGAGTGTTACCGAGCATGGAAAGCAATGAACTCCACTGTTCGGGTGTAAAACCCGGCAAGGGAGTAGGCTGTCCGCTCCTGTTCTCCCCAGTGCTCTGTCCCTGCTTACCCGCGGCTTCAGTTGCTACTGTAGCGTGAGCTTTGTTTATCTGCTTTCCACGAGGTGCGCCTGAGCTGCCTGGAGCACTAACATTGCTCGAACGTCCTCGACCACCTCCTTTAATTCCGGGTCGAGGTCTATCTCCCCACCAATCGGGATATCCATGGAGCTCGAAACAACTTGCCACTTCGTGTCCCGAGAATTTGCAATAAGAACACACCAGTCCGGATTTGTCCGTCTTGACCCCGCGGCCTGCATTTTTGCCTTCTGTTTTGACAGCGAATCCATCACCTCTGGCCGTTCTTCTTGAGCCTATACTATTCCCCGGACTCGTTCTTCTTGCGTCATCTGTTGATATGCACGATTCAAGGTAGGGAGATCAGGTCGCGTCAATAATTGTGACCGAACACCACCAAATAATTCGGTGTAAATACCCATCAAGAATTGGTGTAGACGTTCCGATTCCGTTCTCTTTTCATGTTGCTTGAGTACATCACACGTACAATTATTACACTTGCACGCAATTAATGGCTCATAGTTGTTCAATTCATCCCATAAATTTTGCAATTTAGCATAGTAAGTTCCAATTGCCATCCCTTTTGTTTGAACGCATCTCGCCAAGTCTGTTTTGACTTGGTGAATTTTCGGACCATCAACCGATGCAAACCTTTCCTTCAAATCGCTCCATAGCTTCCGTGCGTCTTCGTAATTTGACAAAGTCGCCTTGACCTCTGGCGATATAACATTCAAAAGCCAAGAGATAATCATTGAGTGATTTGTGAGCCAGTCCTCCTCGGTGCAAGGGGGTGTCGGTTTTGTGATCGTTCCGTCAACTAGCACATACTTTCGTCTTGCCCGGAGTGCCAGCCTCACGGCGTTAGACCATTCCTCGTAGTTAGTATTCGTTAGACGAACCGAGGTGATAAAATCACCCGGTCTATCTTGGGGTCCCAAGAAAAATGGCGAAATGTAATCAATCTTTGCTGCCGGTGTGGCTCCCCCTTCTGTCGTCATCCCGGCTAACCTTCAAACTGCAGAGGACGCGCAGCAGATTATGCCTTAAGCTCTGATACCATATTAATTTACGTATGGCACATGGGAAAAGAGAGAAGTAAAGCAAAAGAGGATAAATTCTTGAGATAATTACCCTACATATGACTAAAACTCTCCCACTTTCTCAATCTATGACCTAATTAGTTTTTTTACTAAAATATTATATAATTCGTAATATTTAAATAATGTATTTAATAAATAAATTAATAAATAATTTGTATGGACTACTATGCCCTTAACCTATTTTTATAAAACCCTAATTGATCAACCCATCGATCAACATACCTCCAGACCTGTGGGCAGAGCGCGATTGCTGGGCATGCCGGCGTGGTCTTCTTTGCTCTCGTGAGTGGTGATTGTTGGGCGGCCGCTGGTAGGATACGGAGCAGATTCGTTCAGATTGGAGGGCGATTGACCCAGATTCGTGGGCTGCGACTTGGTGGGCGATGGAGGCAGATCTGTCAAGATTTGTGGTCGATGGAGGCAAATTCGTTGGCATCAATTTCATGTTGAAGGCTGTGGGTTGAAGGCTCTAGGATTTGTTTGAAGCTCTGACAAATTCGTTGGCAGCAATCTTTTTTCTGTGATTTCAGGTTGAAGGCTTTGGATTGTGTTTGAGACTTTGGTATTACTATTGAAATTTTCGAAAATTATAAAAGAAAGGGATTTGCTACATACTCACTTGTATGTGAAATTATGAGTTTTGGAGGATTAATCTTGTTGTTGACAACTTGACATACTTTTGTTGTTGTTGACATACTTTTTTAACATGGGCATTAAATATGCGCAATGAATATGGGCAGTGAAATCATAATAGATATTGTTGAGTATTGTGGGTGAATTTAGGGTTTGTGGGCATTAAATATGAGCATTGGACATTGACAATGAACATGATCGTGAATATGGCAATATATGTGTTGTACATGTCAGTAAATGAATGCATTAATGAAGTTTATTGTGCAGTGATTATGACCGATAGTGCAGTAAAACATAACAGTAATTGCACCATGAAACACAATATACTTAATGAGACGTAAAATAATAAAATTATTAAATCTAAAAAAACAAAAAATAAAAACAAAAACAAATTCCTCAAGTGAATGAGAAGAGAATTAATTTTGCGGAAGTGCAGTGATTATTACCGGATGTGCAGTAAAGACGTGCATTAATTTTGTGCATTAACGGCAATATAAAGTGCAATAATTTTAATTGGACGAAATTAGTGCAAAATGCACATATTTTAAATAAGGGTATTTTCGTCATTTAACATTTAAGTATAAACGAATTTTCTATTTGTTTTCGGATTTTCAGTCATACAAAGGTATAAAAACTAGTTAGGTCATAGATTGAGAAACTCATTGAGTTTTAGTCATATCCCAGTAAATTTCCCTAAATTCTTCTGTATTGCCCAAGGCCAATCGGCCAGAATAAATATACAAGAAAGAGCCGATGTATTTGGATCTCTAAATGAAAGCCTACAAGGAAACAATCTCGTACCCAATATAGAATACTGTCCTTAAAAAAATAATTCTAAATAATATCTCTAATAATAACCCATTTTCTTAAAGTAATTACAAATTACCAAACTAAGCATATGTAACTAATTAAGACGCCTAAAAAATGAATAGATCTCAAGGCGGTAATGAAGGGTGTTTGGTTCATTTAATACCGTATTACCTTAGTTTAAGGATTATTGTTTCTAGGCTAAAGGGTCAAATAGGTACATGAACTAACTTAAAGTGTTCAATTAGCCCCTTATATAGGATGTTCTGCCCGGCCGTCGCCAATTGGGGCGGTTCCCGATGGAATTTTTTGATGAAATTTTTTGAGCATCTTCTTCATTAAGTTAGTTTACCCATATCAAATTTAAGCTAAATATTGAATCGGGAAGGCACTCAAAATGATTTTCCGAAATGTACTGCGCTCATTAACTACGCAGTTATCTTCAAAAAATCATTTGACTGCCTTCCCGGTTGAATTTTTAGCTAAAATTTGGCATGGGTAAACTAGACTTAATGATGAAGATGCTCAAAAAAATTCATCAAAAAATTCCACCGGGAACCGCCCCAATTGGCGACGGCCGGGCAGAACATCCTATATAAGGGGCTAATTGAACACTTTAAGTTAGTTCATGTACCTATTTGACCCTTTAGCCTTGTTTCTATTTTCTAACCATAGATTTAATAACAAGGAAATCAATATTTTTTATATATTAAAAGCATGTCTTTATTTGAGTATAAAAATATGTCTTTATTTGTGTTAACTTATTTTTTTTTTTTGCAATATTGTTGCCGTAATTGGAGAAACAAAAACTACTATTATCATCAATATTACGTCGTATAATTTGTGTCACTTATTTAATTGAAAATATTAAACACCGAAATGTTTTTAATAAGAGTTTTGTACTCCTACAATCTAAACATACCTAATATGAAGTATATCCCCGTTAGTGACACCAACAATGACACAATTTTATTTGATATTTTGAGTGGTGGTTACAATTTTAGTGGTGTTTTAGTAAATTATTCAAATAACACTTCTCGGTACCTACTTTCTTTTTCGATAGTGATGATAAGAGGCGGCAAATAGAGAGTTGGTGAAGTTAGAGAAAATAGATTGTGATGTATTCATAATTTGATATTATATACCCTTTCATTAGGAGAAGATTTCTAAAAAATTATCAGTATATTACGAATTGTCTTGACATTGTTATATACACGAGTTAGATTCAATACGCCACAAATAATGTTCTTCGCCGCAGACTAAGATTAATGACATTTAATATTTAGATTACATCATAGTGAATTCAACTCAAGTATGGTGCAATTATTTACGGTTAACGTCACTATATGTGAGCTTGCATATATCACAAATGTCTCATGACACTTTCAAGTTTTGTAACACTTACTATAATATATAATGTCAACTAATCATACGGAGCTATGACATCAAATTCTCATAACATTTTTTCCCTAGAAATAACCACCTGAACCGATGGGTAAGAGCTCGGAAACTCTTATCGAAATTTATTAAATGAAATAGTATACGAAGAATTACAAAGCGCCAACGGAAATAGAAAATTGAAGAACAAAAGATAGAGTTAAATGAATAAAAAGGGGTTTAATGCACCAAAACCCCTCGTGAAATATTAATCTGGCGCATTGGATCCATGTGATTTAAAAAATGCGTCAAATCCTCTTGTGTTATAATTATTCATGCACAAAAACCCCTCCACACAATTTTGAAATCACTTTTCTTAATAATATGATTGAATATGCAAGTAACTTTGCCAAAAAAATTAAATTATACCTAAGAACTAATCAATTCATTTTTAGGCAAATAAATTTGTTCATAGAAGGGGTTTTGCCATAAATAAGCATAACACATAGGGGTTTTACGCATTTTTTAAATCACATAGGGCTAATGCGCCGAATTTATATTTCATGAGGAGGTTTGGTGCATTAAACCCAAATAAAAAGCGCTAAAGAAAGAAAAAAGCTAGAGTGATTCATGACTCAGCCAAAAACCGTCAACCCATGCATAACCATGAGCCTACCATGCTGCCTCCCAAAACCGAAAAAACCAACAACCCAAAAGATTTTAACCCGTAACAACTAAAAACTTGGCTTCAAGCCGAGTACTTCTTATAGGCATTATTTGAGATCTTAGTTTCCAATTTGAATCACTTAACCGATCAAGCAACTCCTTATCAGAATCATAATTTGAAGATCATCATCGTCTGAGCTATCAACAACTTCGACTTCAAAGGCACACTCTAATAACGTCACAATGTCCTTGTATTGTACTTGATTCGGTATGGTGACCTGAAAAGGAATTACATCAACGACTGTCCCTTCATTGCGAACCCTCTCTTCATCTTTACCACTTATGTCCACATTTGTGTCCACAATCGTCCTATCATAATTTGACCCAGATATTCCAAAACGATCCCTCCTCTAGTGTCCTTATAAAATTCTTTTGTCCAATGATATTGTGGATTAACAAGTTCCAAATCATTATAATTTCTCTCTAAATCATGATAAAAATAACCATATCTAGGTAAGTCATCTTGAAATAGACCGGAAGAGATCGACCTCACATACTCAAATCTAGAACCCCTCAAATAGATAATTGGAACAAACTTCCCCATGATCAGTCAAAACAATCTCCAAAGCCTTTTTTCTTTACCTCTTTTAAAACCCCAGCTAGGGTTAGTAAAGTAGAATTAAAAAGGTTGAAATTTGACTCATTTTTTGTTTCACGTGTGGTGTTTTTGGTCATGCCATAGTAATCTAAAGAGACAGATGAAGTCACATAAGCAAGGTAGTAATTTGATTTGAGTAGTTTTTAAATATAAAAATTTGACTCATTATTTGTTTCATGTGTGGGGTTTTTGGTCATTGGGACACATATTGTTATCTAGATTTAGTTTTCGAAATGGGCGATAGAGTGCACACATATGACATCTAGATGCGGGCTAATTATGGAAAATAGAAAATGAATGTGTGCATGAGAAATGAGTGTCTAGCTAGTAGTGGGAAAAGGGATGTGGTAATGTAGGATGTGATGGAACTAATATGGAGTAGGGGGGAGCTCATGCTAGATAGTCAATGTAGAGAACTGTGATTGATGTCATTGTGCATATCTAAAATGAAAGAAGTTGCAAATAAGGAGGTTAATGGGGGCAAATAAGCAAAGGCTAGATGAATGAATTTTGAGAATTTATGGAGAGCGGAATCGTAGAATTTTGGAGTCAAATAAATAGGAAATTGACTTTAACAACATACAGGTAGAGCATGGAGGCAAAAAAGTTATGTATACATCCATAAAGAATGTGACCGACATATTGATGTTTCAAAGCTCAAAATAAAAGTTATTGATGGTGAGATAATCGATAGGGGGTGGGCAAAAATACCGGAAAATTGGTATACCACACTTACCGTACCAAAAAATACCGGAAAATACTGTAGTATTCGTATACCGTCATTTTCGGTACAGTATCGATAAATGGTTTCAAATACCGCGGTATACCGGTATAATAGCGCACCAACTCCCTAACCAACAATTACTTTAAATTCTAAAATATTGTAAAATTCCATTACAATTTTGAAGCCCAAAATTAATACTTAGGTTGTTTACGAATACTAAAATACAAGCATAAAGGTCCAATTTCCCAAACTCACTATAAACTTCTAGGGTTCTACTATGTAACATTCAAACAAACTAACCCTAATCTTCAAACAAACCAGTCCATCTTGTTTCATGAGCTTGTGAGTCGCGATGGCTGAGCCGCAGAGTAGCTGACGAGTGAAGAGGGATACAATTATGTGACGAGTATATATACATAGGGATTCCACACGCCGAGATACACAACTTTGTTTGAAAGTCTTATTCAAATATTTTTTTAAAATTATAAAAATGACTAAATACACAATATCATATTAGGGATGAATGATTTTATATCCATGTTGTTTGAATAATTTTATTTATTTTTGTTAGAGATCACTATTCATTCGATTATATCTAGATTGTTCAGGTTATTTTAGTAGAATGTGTTATTTTTTTAATACGTGGCATGATGAACTGCAATAATATAGTAATAATAATTATTGTTCAGTATTGAGTATCACATCTGTAACACCGTCCCCAAGTATATTTACTTTTGTGTAAATTATGTATTGAACCTTATGAAATGGTTAATGAGTTTACGAGGTTGTAAATTTTTGTTAATTCTTTTGCGTGAATAGTAAATTGCACGTGGGGCCCACACGGGAGCGGGGACCACCCGATATTCCCGAGACCGCATATTTTATTCATCTTGATATAGATAATAGTTATATGGTGGTGGACATTCACTTTGGGCCATAAGAAAGG